CTTATGTACAATACTAAAGTAAAACTCTGGAACCTTCCCTGGTGGTTCAGCTGGTAAAGAGTCCATCTGCAATGCAGAAGACCCAGGTTCAATCCCCTTCCAGGTCATGAAGATCCCCTGGAGAAGGAAATGGCAAACTGCTCCAACATTCTTGCCTGGAGAATTCCAAAGACAGAGGAGCCTGGAGGGCTATAGTCCATGGGGTCTCAAGGAGTAGGACACGACTGAAAGACTTTCTCTTCACTTCAAAACTCTGGTACATTAAAAAAAAAAAAAAAAGATTTCTGGGACTTTTTGGTGCTTGGTGAAGGTTTGTGCTTGATGCCACACAGAAAGCTGGCCAGCTAGCCTTCTTCAGTCTCTTTCCTAGGAGTTCCCAGACCCTCAGTTAGAAGGAGCCTCCAGATCTCCGACTCCTGTTTCTGCTGGGAAAGCAGGCTCAGAGAGGTGGGACTTACTCTCCCACAGCCAGTGGGGCTGCTGTTGAGGTGGGTGAGGCAGGGCATAGATTTAGTCACCCGGCGGAAGTCAGAACGGAATTGGGTCCCTGTCAGGGTGCTGGGGGGGAGAGGTGGATCCTCGCTGTGGACTCCTGGGTTCAGGCCTATCAGTGCACACACCTGCCGCCTGAGGGATGGAGAGGGAAGCAGGGGCGGGGAGGGTGCTGTTTCACAACCGAAAGTCTCAAGAGCTGGTTCCTTGCTGAACTTGCTGTGCGGCCTTAGGAAAAAATCCCTTAACCTCTCTGAGCCTCCACTCAGCCATCAATAAAATGGACCTATTTTTTATTTTTTGGATGTGCACTGATAACCAGTTCTGTGCCATCACCCAGCTTGGGTGCTAGGGGCCCTTTGGAGAGCAAATGTAGTCCCAGTTCTTGTCCTCAGTGTAAAGTGGAAGCTGGGAAAATAAACAGAAAATCAATGTGATGAGTGTCACTCTGGAGGGAAGATGAGGTGAGCACGGAGGAGGCGCACCTAACCTTACCTCGAGTGGGATGGCAGAGGTGGTCAAGGGAGGCATACCAGAGGAGGTGGCAGGGACATTGAGAGGGGAAGGATAAGGGGGAGGGAATAGGGCTGACAGATGTGAAGACACAGAGCAGTCATGCCCCCTCCCCTGTTCCCTCCAGCATCATCTTCCTTTAGAACATGCAGGCGAAGGGAAGTTCTCTGTAGTCACTCCTGAGAGTCTGTCCCAAACTACACTCCCTCCAAGCACTCCTCTTGGTCCCCACGCCCTACGTGTCTGCACAGACGCAGATTTTACCGGCAGGTGGGGCCAGTCAGGAGAATTACAGTGTTTGTGTGTGGGGAGACTATTTTTAAAGCTTGAGCTAAGTATGACTTTGTCCACAGTCTGCGGGAAGTGCTAAAAAGCTACACCTTCCCCAGGGCCCCCTGTGTTCCAGACTGGGTTCTCTCTTGCCTGTTCTCATCAGACTGCTCTCACCTGCCCCCACCCCATGCTGTCCTTCCCCCCAGCCTCCTCAGCTCCCTGCCAGTAAGCCCCTGGGTCTGGAGGAAAGGCCCTGAGGGAAGGAGATGGTCCCTTTGCAGGGGGGTGGGTCTAGGTGTTTACACTCCCAGTTTCTAGCTGGGGCTGTGGAGAGATGAGGGTGAGAGGCAGGTCTGTCTGGGGACCTGCAGGTCACTTGTCTGGGCTGTCAGGGGAGTGCAAGGCTGAGGGGAGACAGGCCAAGCCTGCTGGGTGGCTGTGAGACAAAAATATAACAAGAGATGATGAGCTCATGTGCAGGCCTCATGAACTTTAAAATAGGGGGCACATCTGTTTCCTTTCAGCTGTGCCTCTCTGCCTGGTCCCTACGGACTGACCATCCTCAGGGAGGCTCTGGATGTCTGGCATCATCATTTGGTATCTTTGCCTCTTCGGTTGCTCAGGTATCATGACTAGGTTAGCTATTCTTCCACCAGGGAAGCCAGAGGGGTGGAGGAGGGACCACAGGTCTGGTGTGTGTGTGTCGGGGGGAACCCAGCCTGTGACTTGCTTGTTTTGGTTATCTACTGCCACGTAGGGCTTCCCTGGTAGCTCAACTGGTAAAGAATCTGTCTGCAATGCAGGAGACCCTGGTTTGATTCCTGGGTTGGGAAGATTCCCTAGGGAAGGGATAGGTTACCCACTCCAATATTCTTGGTCTTCCCTGGTGGCTCAGGTGGTAAAGAATCTGTCTGCAATGCGGGAGACCTGGGTTCGATCCCTGGGTTGGGAAGATCCCCTGGAGAAGGGAATGGCTACCCACTCCAGTATTCTGGCATGGAGAATTCCATGCACTGTATAGTCCATGGGGTCACAAAGAGTCAGACACGACTGAGCCACTTTCACTTTCACTGTCGTGGAAGAAATCACTCCAATGTATAATGGCTCAGCACAGCAGTCAGTTGCATTTCATATCACTTATTATATGGAACTTATTTTATGTCAGGCACTATGCTAAGTATTCTACATACATTGACTTACTTATTTCCCATAACAACCCTTTGAGGTGACTAGTATCTCCATTTTATGGAAATATGGGAAATGTGGAAGCTGAGGTGCAGAGAGAAGCTGAGTGGCTTGGCCCAGCTCACTTGGCTGTAAGTAACAGAGCTGCCCTTGATCGCAGGCAACTTCTTTTTAGGGCCTGTGCCGTAACCACTTGTTATGCTGCCCTAAGGAACACTTGCGTCACTGACTTAACTTCATTAGAGAACTTAGCTTTTTTCAGCCCAAAGAAGGGCTTTGTGTCCTTCTTTGCCAGAGCAAGGGGGCCAATGTCTTGAATTATTAACTCCGTTTTGGAAAAGTGCTGCCTCTAAGAATCAACTAATTAGAAAATTTTCCTTGTCTTGACACTTCTGTCCTCAAAGCAGTTTCTCTTTTTTCTGTCCTTCTGTACCTTTCCTATGTTTATTAACTATATATATATATATATATATATATACATGTTACATATACGAATGTGTATACATCAAGAAACATAAATGTATGTTTGCGCTCCTAATTCAGAATATGTTGACTGATGGGTATGCCAAATAAAATAATAAATAGCTTTTGGAATTACATTGTAAACACAGGAGGAATTTCCCACCCAGTTCAATAAACACAATAATCTCCATAAATACAACCACTGGGACTTAAATAAATAAAAGAGAATAAACACAGGGCATGTGACTTAACCAGATGGCTATTTGCTGTTGCCAGATGTTCAGCTATGGACCGACACGAGGTACTGACATGAAGAGCAGTGATCATTGCAATGGGCTGCCTGTGCGCACTGGCACGGTGTGTATTAGGCAGTAGTGGACATTTTCCCTTTGTGAATATCAGCCACTGGTGAGGGCTGTCGTGGATGAACATTAGTGCCGATAAATATCAGTTATCAATGGACATTTGCTCCCTGGTGAAATGAGCTGTCATGGAACATTGAGCATCAATGGGCAAAACCTTGTTAACCTATGATGACGTCTAAAGTCTCGGTGGACATTAGGTACAAGCAGAGGTAGGTCTCTGCTGCCCACATGCCTGGCAGTCTTGCCCAGAGACACATCCTATGAGCTGGTTTGGAGGCAGTTGATGGGTGATAGTATCTCCATACCCTCTCCGAGAGGTCAACTGCTTGGTCATGACAATTTGGGGAAATCAGGGGGTGGTCTGATAACACTCATGGAGGGAAATTTCTGGCTTTTCAAGATCTAAGCACAGCAGGACTGGCTTCAATGGGCAATGGGAACTTAGAAGGGCCCCATGCTTGGTTTAAGACTCTGCTCTTGCCATCTTGAATTCTTAATAATTTTGAACAAAAGACCCTACATTTTCATTTTACCCTAGGTTCCACCAAGTATATAGCCAATCCTGAAGCACAGACTCCTGGCCGGATGGCCCTGTCACCTGTCATGTAACTTTGGGCTGCTCCTCTCTGAGCCTCCATTTTCTATCTGTAAAATGGGGCCAGGAGGGGAAGGATTTTATCTTTGGCTTTTCATGCTCTGCAGTGCAGGAGACCCGACTTCGATATCTAGGTTGGGAAGATTCCCTGGAGAAGAGCATGGCTACCCACTCTAGTATTCTTGCCTAGAGAATCCCATGGACATAGGAGGCTGGTGGGCTACAGTCCATGGGGTCGCAAAGAGTTGGACACAACAGAGTGACTCACATTTTCATGCTCTAGAGTCCATGGTCTGATTGGAGATACTTAGAGTTGCATAACTCCACCCCATCTTTTCCTTCCAGCAGAAAAATAAACGGAGTCCTAGTGTTTATTGGTTTCTCAGAGCACCTCTGCCCTTTCTGACATGTGTGACCTGCACAGTTGACCTGGACACTGAGGTAGGCCAGCCAGGAATGCCAGACTCGCCCCCTGACAGATGAAGCCAGGAGCAGGATAGTGTCCTCATCTGTGTATGGTGACAGTAATGCCCAGGGCAGTTATGGGGAGGAAAGGATCGCATGTACACCAGGTCCAAGGACACGTGCCCAGTAAATCACAACTGAATTATTAATGAAGTGCAGTGAAATGTTTGTGACTTGGCCTGTGCTATGATGACAAACTGCTCAGCTGTTTCCCCATCTCTAAAACTCAGCTGACATGTATGTTAAAGGTCTATTCTGCACAGAGCGAAGATCCCACGGACCACACTATGGCTCTGCAGGTCTACCATCCTAAAGCTTTATGAAATCCTTCAGGTCTGAATCAGACATCAAAATATGAGTCTATGACCACGTGGTTCTACAATCTAACTCATGATTCCATGGTTGAATGAATGAGAAAACAAGCATCTCTGGAGTCTGTACCCGATCCTTTACAAATGTTACTTCCTTTCCTCGTCATACAATCCTGTGCAGGGAGATATTTTCATCCCCATTTTCCAGGCTCAGAGAACAAATGTGACTTGGCCGAAATCACACACAATTTTAACCCTTTTCTGGGAACTCCAAAACAGAATGTTTGCACTAATCTCTGTGACTCTGTAAGAGTCCAGTGACCTCGTTCTCTGCCCCAGGATTCCAAGAGGGCGGAGTGTGGCGGGATGAAGGCGGTAGGGATGACTAGGCAAACTGCACTGGTCCACTTTCGCCTCCAGCGGCTCTACGCCTTGCTTGGCGACCCCTCTGATCTGGGGTGTCTGGCCATGCGCGACCACGAGGTGGCGCTGCGGGCTGAGAGCCTCCGGAGGGGCCGCGGGAACGCCAGGTTCTGAGAGACCACGCAGGCGCAGGAGGTGAGCAAGGTGATGCCCTCACTGCGAAGGAGCCCACCCTCCTGCTGGCGCTTCCCTCCCCACCCCGTTTTGCAGATGTGGAAGCTGCAGCTTAGGGCCAGGTGACTTGCAGGAGCCCCAGCTACCTTTCCCCAGATTTCAGCGCCATTAATTTTAAGACCCCTGCTATGTTCCATAGCCCTCCCTCAAGGACGCTTTCTTCAAATGGGGCTTTTAAGACCCACTGGGTGAAAGTCTTAGGGATCCCTCCCTCCACCCCTGTATTTGAGATCTCTCCTGTCCCAAGGAATGTGGGAGGATGAAGTACCAATCTGAGGACTGTGAAGGCCGAGGTCTCACTCTGATCCCTTCCTGTCCCCCTTGCTTCAGACCTTTTCCATTTTGGTGGTGGCCAGCCTCTGGCTCAGAGACTCCAAGCCCTGGGGGGCTTAAGCCACGTGATGGGCAAGCACCCCAACCACACACATAGCCTGAATGTCCTGGGAACCCGTGCCACTGCTCACCGATAGCACTTCCTAAGTGCCAGCCCCGTCTGTCCAAGTCCGCTTGTCCTTGACTCCATGGATGAGCCTCCTCCAGGAGGCCTTCCTAACCCCACCACAGGGCTCACAGCTTCCTGCGCTGCTCTTAGTCAGGGGTCCCCTGTGTGCCCTTTCCCCTCCCATCCCAGGAACTTGAGTCCCGGGGCACAGAACAGAGGATAAGGTTGGTGGTGGTGGTGACGGTTATGGATATATCCCTGCAGATCTTGGCCAGTTAGAAGGAAGAACTCGCTAACAGCAGAGCCATTCAGATGAGCTGGAAGTGGGTTCCCTGTCACAGGAAGTGTGTGAACAGGAGAGGGTGCCACAGCATTCAGATGCCAAGAAGGATCACAGTCCTACTGGAGCTTACAGGGAGATGGCGGGGGCGGGAGGGGTGGTGGAGACCTTGGGGAAAGCGTCTAAGGAGATGAGGCAGAAACTGGGTCTATGAGGCCAGGAAGGAGCAGAGAAGCTGGGCTGGGGGCAAGGGCCACGTCCCAGAGCAACAGCCTGAGCAAAGACAGAGGCATGCAAGGGCCTGACAGCTGGAGCTGGGGAGGCAAGGAGAGAGGAGGTAAGGAAGGTCGACAGAGTGTGAGCTGCACTGAAAGGTTCCACCCCAAGGAACTCCCTCCCTCACTCCCCTAATCCTAGGAGGTTATTGGGCTTTTCAGAGGGAACAAGCTTGTCTTGATTCATCCTTGTGGCCCCAGAGACCCGTCTGGGGAATGTCAATGGATGCTGGTCAAATGATGGCAAGAGGGAGACTCTTTGTAGTGTTTATTAAACCAAGGTGTTGGGTGGGGCTGCTGGGGAGGACAGAGCTCTCATTGTCCTGTGGGCGTCTCTAAGGGACCAGCCCCATGGATGCCAGCATGGCGATGTATGGCTGGCTTCTACCCAACGCCTCCTCTCCCAGCTCATCCCCAGGACGCAATGTTACAAAAGTGAACAAATGCAATGTCTTCTTTCTTTTACAAATGACATATTTCCAATCCCCTGCCAGCAGGGACCTGGATGGGGGGGAGGGGGGTGTGGTGGTGGTGACAGTCCATTAAAAAGGCAACAACTTTTATAAAACTGATACTAAGGAAAGAGCCCAGGGCTGGGAAGCTGAGATGCCAGCCTGGTGGGGAAGCATAAACATGGGTGGGGGATACCCTGCCTCCTTGGCTGCATTCGCAGTAGGATGAGCTGGGCTGTCGGGCACAAGGCCAGTAGGGGCTGATTGCAGGAAGCCCCTCGGAGCTGGTGGGGCTCCAGGACGGCATCAACTCCTGGGGAACCAGCTAGAGGCAGGACCTCAGGGGTCAAGGAGCGCATTTCCATTCTGGACGCTGGGGGATGCCTCCCGAGTGGGAAACTGGCAGGGCTGGGACTGGCACCCCTGAGGCTTCCAGGGCCTCTGGGGTGAACTGACTTAGCCTGAGCCACAGCTAGTTACCAGGCCCAGAGTGCCACCCTCAAGGCCCTGGCCTGCCCTCCTGGGGATGACAGGGAAAGGGTACAAATGGGAGGATGTGAGTCTTGGAAGCAAAGGGGAGCCCAGGAAGGGGAGAGGGAGGGCATGATTTAGAGAAAAGTGCAACCAGGCCCTTTGGGCAGGCATGTGGGACACTGAGTTCACTCATGCTTCTGCCACTGTAAGACCTCTGAACACCGTTTTTCCTTCTCTAGGCCTCAGTTTCCCCATCTGTCACATGAGGAAGTGGGCTTGACACTTTTCTCCCATCCTTTCTACAACTGAAGTCCTATCCAGAGTTCTAGGGGAAGAAAAAAGAATGAGGTAGGCCTCACATGGCCAGAACAAAGAGAGATTTATGTCACAGAAGAAACCCACGTCTGAGTGGCTGGACCTCCCTCCCGCCTCCCTCCTGTCACAGGGTCAGGTTGGTCCAGGCCTCAGGGAAGGCACTTTGGGGACAAGTGGGGAAGGACAGCAGGGGACTGCTGTCTGGTTTGGCATCGAAGACCCTTGGCTTATGGTCTGGGGAGCAACAGAGACAAAGGCGCAAGACTTTGCTCCTGGGTGTGGGTCCCAGGTTCAAAGCCTCTCTTTCAATGATGCTGTCACACAGGAATGGAGAGTCCCTGTGGGCATTGGCACATTAAAATATAAATTACCCAGGACCTGAGGAAACCCAGGGCACAGTCTGTTACAGGGCCCCAGGCCGCACCGTTCGTCACAAGGTATTGGAGCCCCTGGCGGCTAACTCCTGGGTGTCTATGCAGTGCAGGGCCACCTTGGGGGTGAAGCCAGGCTGCCGGGGATAGGTGCCCTCCCGCACCAGGCGCCGGCACTGCACACCCTGGCCCACGCTGATGCTCTGCAGTGCGGGGAGGTGGACGAGCAGCTTCTCGGGCAGGGGCACCAGGCCCGTGCCCGACAGGTCCAGCTCCTGCAGGGAGCCCAGGCCTGAGAACACCTCAGGTCCCGCCCACTGGAGCCTGGGGTTGCTGGACAAGTCCAGGACCTGCAGGCCCTGCAGCTCGTGGAAGCCGTGGGGCGCCAGCTGGGGCAGACCCTGCAGGCTGCCCAGCGACAGGTGAGTGAGGCCCGCCAGCCCCTCAAAGGCACCGGGGCCGATGGCTGCCAGCGGGTTCCCGTCCAGGCTCAGGTAGCGCAGGGGCAGGCCCCGGAGGTCGGGCACGGCGCGGAGCCGGTTCCAGGCCAGGTTGAGGCTCTGAATGGTGGGCGCCGGCCGGCCAGTCCGCGAGGAATGGGGCAGCAGGCGGTGGAGGAGGTTGTGGGAGAGGTCCACGTGCAGCGCCCTGCCCTGGCTGTGGGTGGCGAAGGCGGACACGGAGACCTCGCGGAGCCGGTTGTGGCTCAGGTTCACGTCGCTCAGGGGCGAGCTGGTGAAGCTCTCAGTGGGCAGGGTGGCCAGGCCGTTGTGGCTGAGGTCGAGCGACTCCAGGTAGCGGAGGCGGGAGAAGGCCGTGGGCGAGAGGCTGGTGAGCAGGTTGTGGCTGAGATCCAGGCCGGACAGCGTGGTGTAGCCCGGCCCTGCCAACACGGACTCGTTCACTGTCTCCAGCCGATTTGAGGACAGATCCAGGTGGGCTGTGTCCAGGGGGATGGGCACGGGCACGATGTAGGGGCCCAGGCCGCTGCAGTCCACCCGTGTCAGGCTGAAGCTGTCAAAGAGGCCGAAGGTCTCCACCTCGCACTGGCACCCGGGGAAGCAGGGCCGGGTGGTCTGGGCCCTGCTCGCGGCCAGCAGCAGCAGCAGCAGCAGCAGCAGGGGCCACGGCATGGTGGGGCTAGAAAGAGAGGCACAGGTGAGGGTTGGCAGTGGGTACCCGTTCCAGCAGTTTCCCAGGTAGCATTAGTGGTAAAGAACATGCCTGCCAATGCAGGAGACATAAGAGATGCAGGTTCGATCCCTGGGTTGGGAAGATCCCCTGGAGGAGGGCATGGCAACCCACTCCACTATTCTTGCCTGGAGAATCCCATGGACAGAGGAGCCTGGAGGGTTACAGTCCAAAGGGTCACAAGGGGTCGGACACAACTGAACCGACTAAGCATGCACGCACGCACCCCATTCCAGATGGTTCTCTCCCACCCTGAAAGACACCAGCCAACGTGTGTAGACACAGCTGAAAATTGCCACCTGCTCCTCAGTGCCCCTAAAGGCTTTCCCTGAATACCCCGTCCTCAAATAATTCCTAGTCCCTGTTCCTCTCTGGCCTCAGTCTCCCCATCTGTATGATATGGCGAGTTAGGCTAGATGGCTGGGTTTTAAACTGGAAGTATGTGAACCCTTTCTTGAATAAGATTGGCAGGTGACAGTGGGCCTGTTCTGGTTGATGTGAAGCGGGGAGTCTGAGTCTGCCATGTCTGTTCACTGTCCTGCCGTGGGATGAGAAGGAACCCAGCTGGAAACGCACTGGACAAGATGTGTCTTTGGCTGGCCTCTCCAGCTTGGAGGATCTAGGCTCCATGGGCTGGTCTCCCCCCAGGTGCTACTGGGGAGGGGTCCCAGCTTAGAGGTCTGGGTGCTCCCCTCACCTCTGTTGAGCATGTGCTATGGGCTCGGTGCTGGGCTAGCTGGCGCCCTGCACGGTCTCACTCAACCCTCACAGCCACAGAAGCTGCACCGCAGCGATCTTGTCAGCACTTCACGAAGAGGGAACTGAGACTTAGGTTCAGAAAGCCATGCACGGCCACACGTGAGTGGAGCAGAACTGAATGGCGCTCAGAGGGACATGGCTCAGTGTCATGGTTTGACACTTGGCTGAGCTGTGCCTGAGACCCCTGCTCCAGCTTCCCAGACTGAGGCCTCTCCTGCAAGGGGGGCCTGCAGCGCTGTCCCCTCCTCACTCCTTTTGTGGGTAATGATAGCTGGGTCCACAGGCATAAGCCCTCTTCCCTGGCCTGGCCTCTAGGGGCAGGATCCTTCATTCCAACCAGGGACCCTGCATCTAGACTTCCAGATGGGCCCTGGGGACCACTCTGCCAAGTACCTTCCCCTTGCCCACCTTGACCCCCAAGCTGTTAAAGTGATTACACTTTTCTGGCCCTTCCTTTAACCCACAGCAGGCAGCTGGGCTGTGTCCCCCATTATACAGATAAATAAGAGGCTCAGAGACAAAAAGGGTTTTACCCAAAACCTGTATGGAAAAAGCAGGGCAGGATTAGAACCCAGGCCTACTCAGTCCTAATTCTTCTACTCTCCTCTGCTGCCTCCAGGACTGGCAGGAGAGATGCGATCGAAGAGGAGCTCTTCCCACCGACAGGGGCTACAATGCAAGCCACTGCCCCTCCCCTGACTCACTGTCCCTCCCTGGATAACTTACAGCAGCTGCCACTGATGCCAAGCACTACCTGTACACTCTCACCTTCAACACTCATCCCCACACACATCTGTAGCTCCCTGGAGGATGAGAGAGGGGGCTGAGCAGTGAAAGAAAGCTTCTAACTGGACAGCCTGTGGTCACCCTCTCCCCCTAGAAGAGCAGCTACTCAGCCTGGAGATAGAGGACACGAAACCTCACGCCAGCAGACCCTTCAGCTGGAGTGGCTCAGCTCCCCACTCTGCACCCCCTGCCCCATCGTCCCCCCACCTTCCTCCCCCTGGCCTTTAGGGAGGGGTGGACTGGAGAGGAGGGTGGATGGAGGGGAGCAGCGGGATCGCATTACCAGTTCCGCATGAAACTTTAAAGGGGCAGCCACTTGATCTGCACCTGGGCTCTTCTCCCCGGCCTCCCTCTGCAGGCCCCTCCTCTCCCACCCCTTTCTTTTGTAGAGCCCAATTTGAGGATTAAACCCAGCCCAGGTGCATCCTGGGCTCGGTCCCAATTGAGGCTGGACAGAGTGTTCCAATGTCTGGAACTAAAAGGAAAACATTAAGTTGCTTCACACCCCTTTTGTTGCCCGGGGTGAGCTGCTCACAGCAGGAGTTCATTACTACCTAGGGCCTCACCTTCCCTGCTAAGCTGATCTGCTCATACCCACCCCTTCCTGGGGTTTAAACAAACACCAAATGCACACAAAAAGGCCTAAGATTACCCTTCTTTCCCAGAGGTGATTATACAATGTGCCTCTCAAGTGCCAAACAGCCCCTCATGAGCTCCTGCTTATGTAACTCAGCTCAGCGCTCCCCTTCCCTCCCCCCGACGGGGGCCTCTCCAGCCCTCGGCTTTGTCCTCTGTATCACAAGGCAGTAATTCCTGCCTGCCTCATACACACTGATGCAAGTCACACACAGCGCATGCAAACTGTAAGGGCCGTGCACGTGTGCTGGGTGGTCATCACCGGCCCTCAGAGGAGCAGGAATGTGGATGGAGACCGGCTGGAACACTGCTCCTGATGCTCCCAGGACACCCCAGACATGGTCCCTGCTCAGCCCTGCACTGTGGACACCTCTCCGTGGGCCCCTGTGCTGGGCCAGGCTGGGACATTGAGCGGGAAGTGCTGACAGTGACCGAGCCTGTCCTAAGTGCCAGTCACATGTCCCCTTACGCCATCCTCGGTCACTGCAGGAGGTCATCAGTCTCATGTCCGTGTTGCAGTGGAAGAGACTGAGGATGGCAAAGGAAGGTGCCAGAGGCCAGCAAGCGCACTCAGGCCTCTGTCACCTCGTAACTGGCTACGTTCGGGTGGAATGTGCACTTCTGTGTGTTGCTGGGAAAAGAAGACCTAAGCGGCCAGAGTCCCAGGGCCAGGCTCCAGCTACTGTCGGCTGCCGTGATCATCAGTGCCCAGCTTCCTAACACTCAGTGGCTCTTGGGTGTTCCTGAGGTCACAGCAGAGCCCAGAGGTCTCTCAGAGTTGTCCCAGGAGGCTAGGAGAAGAAAAAAAGAAGAGAGAAATCTCTGGAAGGTTTCTCAACTTTGGAATCAGAAGGGGGCAAAGGTAGAGATGTGGGCTACTGGTCTTTGAGGGTTGGTGCCCCTGCTTTGCTCAGAGGCCATGACCCCTTTTGGGTAACACAAGGAGGGGTGCATTCGTGTGAGTGACTCAGAGATGCTGGGGCCTGGCTTCACTGCTTGGAGCAAAAGGCCCAGCAGCCAAAGGCAGGGCAGAAGTTTCCCAGGAGGAAACTGAGGGAAGATAAGGAAAACCCCTACCAAGGGCACAGCCCTTGATATTTTCCAAAAGACCTTTGCTTATTTGAGCTTGTGAGGGCTACAGAGCAGGGCGTGCAATCCCTCGCTTTCTAGATGAGGAAGCTGAGGTCTCTCATCTTGTCTCTGGGTCCCCAGTGAGGTGATGGCAGCTGATGCTCAGGCTCTGATCTTCTGACTCCAGGCCCAGAGCTTCCCAGTCCCCTCAAGATGCCTGTGGAACTCTCCTAGGGATCTTATGGAGTCAGTAAAAATAGTGCTCAGAAGAGTCTGCAACCTCATGTAGGAGGGGGCTGATGCCATAATGCTAAGGATCATGAGGGTAAATTGCATGCTAAGAAAATTATACATTAAAAAAAACCCAACCTAAATTATAATTTTAGAAAGTCTAGAAGAAAATCTGTCAACCTGGTAATGGTCTTCCTTTAGCTGGCAGAACTTTGGGTTTCACCATGTCTTAATCTCCTTTCCCCCCTCTTATTTCCTGTCTTATAACTATATATATATATAAATCAGACTGAGTAATGAAGACTCATAGGACTGTCTCATGGCCATCTCTTTCTCTGACCTTGGCTAGCCACAATCTCCAAGCCTCAGTCTACTCATCTGTCAAATACAGGTGTTAATAGCCATCTCACAGGCCTGTCATGAGGATGAAACACACTGGCGGGGGGAAGGCACCTAAGCATGTTTCCCCGCACAGGGGGAGGGTACAGTGGGGGCTCCCCTGCCCTCCTCCAGACAGGGAGTGGGTGGGGTGGGGATTTCTCTCCCTCCAGCAGACACTATCAAACATGACAAAGGTCATACTACTGCCCTCCAGGAAAGCAGTTCTTCCTGGGAAGCCAAGCTATGCTGTTTCTCAACAGGGCTGCTGGGTCTGGGAAGGGATGACTAATGCAAGTTCCTCTTCACAAAAACTGCTAGCCTCAGCTCCACGGAGAGGATAGGCCCGCAAAGGGTGAGAAGACTCTCGACATCAACTTGCAGTGTGAACTGAGCAAGTCACTTGACCTCCCTGGACCAGTTCCATCAGCTGTGAATCTGGGATACTAATGATGGTTCCATCAGCCTCAGAGAAGACAGCTGTGAAGGTGAGACTCAGAAGACCAACATCCCTATAGAGAAATGAGGCCCCAAGGTGGAAGCCATATGATTGAAAGACTGTGCCTTTTCATTCCACCTCTACCCGTATCCACGGCAGACACAATTAATCAACCACAGCACTAAATTGCTGAGGGCAAAGCAGTCTGTTAGGCCCTGGGAGGTGCATGCTGGGGTCAGGGCAGGAGATCCCAGGGCCTCTGTCCCCATGAGGCTTACAAACCATCAATGGGGACAGGAGACCAACTCATATCGAGATCACTAGCACCTGCCTTAGATCCAAGAGACCAGGACTCTAGTCCCAGCCCTGCTACTAACTGTGTGAACTTCAGAGTTTTCTTTCTTTCTTGGAGCTAGAACTGACTCTGCCTCCTTCCTTCTCTCAAGACCCTGTGATCTACGCTAGGGAGAAAGGCAAAGGCACACAAGTATTCACCATGGAAGGCCAAGAGAGGATACTTCACTTACTCTCCAAACCCCAACCTGCAGATCAAAGTCATCTACTGATCAGCCATGTTATAGAACATAAGGGCAGCCGGACAAAGGCTTAGTAACAGTACCCACCCTCGGTCTGGGGGATGTG